GGGGGGGGGGGGGGTATATACAGGGCTCACATCAACATATTTATATGATCGAGAAAAGAACGTCTGATGCCAAAATAGATCATTGCTTCTCACACTATAACTACAGTATTAAAATGTGCACCAATTCAGGCACGATATTGCTCAATTGTTACCTCCATTAAACCAAATGCAATATATTCTATCACTGCCAGTTGATCTATCAGCAGCATTATTAAATAGAGGTCTGTAAAATTTGCAGTTTTATATATACTATAGCTCTGAGTCACGTGATACCTTCGTACAATGGCTCTCGTTTGTTTTGATGGCAATTGGCTCTCGTGTTTCTGTTTGTTTGTTTACAATTGATGCAAATTTTATTTGAGTTGCCTGTTGTCACAGCGTGACCAACACGCAAAGTGTCTGATAAATATATTGATCAGCTACAAGCGTGAACACAATGATTCCCAACACCAAATATGCACTGTCAGATTTATAAAATCAAACGCGAGCCTATAAATATAATAGAATAACAAATCGTCAAATCTCCTGAAAATTCTTCTTAAACTAAAAGGATTGTAGATAATACGTGATCTTACCTTAAAAAATGACTTTACAAGAACTTAGAAGATACAATTCTTAAAAATCGCAATATTTGCTAAATACTTGCCAAATTGTAAGTTTCGCCCTCGTGCTAAATCTTGGCAAGTCCCGAAGAATTGCCGGTAGCTTCCGTAAAGACCCGTCGAATATCTCTACGTCACAAAACGTCATAAAACTGAACATCCAAACATTGCTAAATCCAAATGCATTGTCGCATTCATATAGCTCGGTAAAGAGGTCTGGGAACAAATCACAAGAATAGGAAGCTGCCTGCGGCAGCAATAACTTCTTGCTTTTGCATGTATAATATAACACTATCAGTGGTGAAGCTAGCCATAGCAACAAGTCATGCTATGCAAGTTTTTAATGATTTTCTTATTCAAATAGATGCAGGTTTATTGGAGTGGCATGCCCAGTTGGCATGGTGTGCCTAGTTGGCGCGGCATGCCCAATTGGCGTGGTAACTAAACAAAATCATATAATATATAAACAATATAATACTTGAATGAATCATTGGATATGTAGAATTTATTAAATATTATAATACAGTCGGATTAAGCGGATACATATCTCAGGTCCCATTTAGTTTCTTTAATAAAAAACTATTATCATAACCCCTATTAAGCGGACACCCCTCTTTAACGGATGCGGACACCTTTCTGGAGGTCCCAATGGGCAAATCAACCTCTCTTAGGCGGACAGATGACAGATTGCCTGATAAAATGTATTCAATATTCGATAGTAAATAACAATTGAGATCAATTTACATGGCACATTGACAGTGACACACCAACTTGGCGCGAAGACATCAGAGCCAAGATTATTGAGGAAGTGACGAATGAGGACGGAGGACTGTGAGCCGCCAGCCATGATGATACTGAATTACACACCTAATTACACACCTTTGCCTCTTGCTGTGTTTTTCTACATACCCCTTTTAAGCGGACACCCCTTTTAGGCGGACACTTAGGCGAGGTCCCGAAGGTGTCCGCTTAATAGGGGTTCGACTGTAATTTCATATATAGATATATTAAGTCAGTTTTTGTCTCAATTACCATATCGTTTTAAATATGCAATAATGGCATCTTCAAGGCTACCCCTATTGCGAAACAACTGAACAATCTGCTGATGCCTGATGGGGAAACAAAATCTATTTGTTGACAGTTTTGATTCATGTGTCACCTTGTAATGACACCATTCATTTGTAATGGATTAAAATTGTATTCAATCAGAACTGCATAATATTAACTACAATTGAGCATTATGACAAGACATAAAATATAGTATACCCTGTGTACTGTAGTGACACAGCTAGCCAGGTGAATATATAAATGTAGGCTGGTAGTGTTATGCTATAAACAATGGACATATCTCAGAGATATATTTTTACAGACCGTCATACCTTTTATAAAAGTCGGTTAACATGTTATTACATGTAAGTGTAACTGCTTATAAGTTATATGTGCAGACAACAATCCACACTGGTAAATTGCTATCGAGGTTGCTATAATATTTCAGGTAATTTAATTTTCATTCGTAATTTCGTATACAATTGTGTATTCCAATGCGGGCACGATAATGCTCAATTGATATTCCATGATAACAATATTTATACCTTGAAGCACAATGTTCTATCAAGCTCAATTAGATTTTTTTTACAAACTGACAATCAGCGAGATCCACTTATTTATATGAAGGCTTGTATGCATCATGCACCTAAAAATTTAATAATTTAAATACAGTTAATTCATTCCTTACAACGGGTAAACGAACAAAACACATCGTCATTTATGATCAAACTTTCATCTTACCTTGAAAAATATTTCGATAAACAGCCAGAACATAAAGTAAAATTTGCACTAAGCCACTCGTGAGTCGTGCCTGTTGAAAGCTTGCTGTATTTCATAGGCCAGAATGTAATGTTTTAGAAATTGTCATGGTCCACGGTGCTGTTCACGAGTTTTCGACTGGTGCCGGAAAGTCAAATCGCGATTTGAAGTATGTTATAATATTTTTTTAAATTTCTGTGACGTCAAAAAAGGGTGATTGCTAGAAATTATACTTCAAAATAAGATTTCCGTTTTCATAACGTAGAAAAAACCATCCTAACGTAAAACTAAACCCTAATACTAACCCGAACCATTACCACAACCCTAACCTAAACCTAACCTAAGCCTAACTGATTTAAAAAATTGATGATAAAAACGGTAACCTTATTTTGAAGTATACTATCTAGCAATTGCCGTCAAAAAAGTGAGGTCGGGAATCTTCGAGTTAAGCCCTTCGAGTTAAGCCCCTCGAGTTAAGCCCTTTTCGAGTTAAGCCCCGACCACGCCCTGTTTTGCCAAGACCGCGCCCTTTTTCAAAAAGGGCTTAACTCGAAGAACGAAACACGATTTGGGTTATTCGAGTTAAATTAAGCCCCGGGGCTTAACTCGGAGTTTAACGAAAAAGTTGTTGCTCGAGTTAAGCCCCGACTTTTGAAGTATGTCAACGAGTGCAATATTAAATTGTCAAATTTTCAATACAAAAAAGCCAAAGCACAGAAATTTTCCCAAAAAGAACTCGTTTTATATCGCTAATGTAAAACGATTATAAAAAACAATCACAACTATTATCGTTAACAATATTTTAGGTTTTTCATATTAAATTAATATTAAATTTAACAGGTAATTACTTTTAGTGGATCGCTTATCTGCAACAAAACAACAAAACAATATTTTAATTATAAAGTAGATAGAATCCTAACTCGTTCCTTTTGTTTCAATGTGCACAATATCGACAAGTAACAGTTTTACTGTAAC